GAACAATGGACGCTCGGGAGTATGTGGTTCAGCCCAGAATTTTCGGGCACGGTTTGCGCTACCCGATCCAAGGTTGGCATACTGAAGCTGTGGATTTCCCATGTTTGATTGCGATTGGACATCAGTCCTCATTAAACTTGCAAACCGCACAAACACAAATAGTTGTGGTGTTTTGGGCGCTGACCTTGAACCAATTCTCCAAGCGGACCGCAAAAACCATAGCATGATGTGGCAGTAGAGTAGCGGTTTCGCCCACATCAACCAGAGGTCATCGACCACCTGCGGGACTAGTAACAAGTACATCGCTACTAGTAGCCAGAAGCTACTAGTAGCAGGGGCATCGCTACTAGGAGCAAAGGGCATCGCTACGACCGGCAGTTCATCCAAACAGCAAAGCCCACCTGTCGAATCTGCTGCTCTTCGCGGATGTGAGGGTTCACCGGGAGCACCTGCCACAGCACAAACTGCCCAAACGACTGAAATAACGAGTGAAACCAAAGGGCTTGGAATGGCTGATGAAAGAGATCCACACGAGACAAATCAACACCCTTGCTTGTGAATGAAGGGCTTGGACACCAAAAGGACACCGCACGTTCCGTCAATGGATAAACACTCGACGGACAAAGAAGCAAATCTCGACGGACAAAGCGACCGAGCATCATGTCCGAAAAAAAGCATCTACACCGCACAATTCTGTTGACCCATCGTCCATTGCCAGCGTCTCCTCTTTCCGTGGGCTTTCGAACATTAGCGTTTGGCCGGCCAGGGTGTGGCGGATCTGAAAATACCAGGAACAGTGATTCGATTCTAGTACGCTTGAGGTTCACATGCACATCGTGTTACAGGGCTAACTGCAAGGGCTAACGAGGGATCTTCGAGTTGGAAACACATGGATGATGCGAGCCGCAAAAATAGACTCGTTGAAGATGAGACCGGCGTGTAAATAGTCCAGTCCTGTGTATAGATCTTCAGGGGACGTGCTCCATTCTATGTGCCGAAAAATAGTTCTTTAGAATCCACACCAGTGGTGGCTCATTCCCAATTGCTCTTTGGAACCGGTGATTAAATGCTCATAAATCTCAAGAATTAACTCTGGAGCTTGTCCTTTCTCACTGTGAGCCAATCCTAAAACGAACTAGTTCAGGAATTAGTTCAATCATGGGACCACCCTGAAAATTCTTTGGACAAATCCATTCGGAAAGGATTGACTCCAGAGCTGACAAGATTCCAGTAAGCTGAATCAGTACTGATGCTGAAGAACTCACAAAGTTCTTAGAATCACTAACTCCTGCATAGTGAAGACATTCATATACCTTCACCTCACAGGTAGAAAATGAAGCTATATAGGAACCGCGTCTTCCAAAAAAAATACTTGAAAAAAAAGAAAAAACATCACTCCTTTTTCCTGTTTCTTCCTTTCCTGTTTTTTCTTGATTCTTTCCCCTTCCCCACCTTCGCACCCTTGAGAGCCTCTTCCGAAGCACCTGGAGAAGCACAGCCGGTTTCTTTTTGGTCCAACTCAGTCGACTCCGTCTTGGACCGAAAAAAACAATCTGAATCTGTATGGACAAAAAATAGAAGCACAAACAAATAAACAAAAAGTAGAACCAACAGTAATGCGTTACGTGACTATTTCTGTTTGCTGAAAAGACTCTGCTTCAATTGGATCGAAGTGTCAAGATCAACTCTGCCACAATTGAACAGGCGAATTGGTTACGGAGAAGGTTTCTTGGGGTCAATGGAACCGATAACCATCGATAACCGTAGTTCACCAGAGACAACCATCGCTTCCTGGAAAGTGTGACAGAGTCCACGCCATCCTTGAGATCTAAAAAAAAACACCTTTTTCACCTAAGCTCAGCTCTGCAGAGTCTCTGCAGCTGGTCTTTTGGCTGTTCGACCCACTGTGTTTCCTCTCACCAGTGCCCAGCGCTTCGATCGACCTGCAGCTTCAGTGATCTCTTGAAGTTCCCGTTCGAAGTCGTCCATGGCATTGAAGGAACCTCGACGTGCGACTTGATCGCTACTAGTAACAAGAAGCTCAAGCTACTAGTAACATGTGCCTTACTACTAGTAACAAGAAGCTCATTGTAATTAATTCGCACCATATTTGTTATTACTAATAGCTTCTAGTAACAGGTGCCACGCTAGTAGTAACAGGTGCCTTACTAGTAGTAACAATGTTTGCTATTAGAATTACTTTGAATCAAGGCCTTTCCATCGGTTTCCATCGGTCGCCCGAGGGCGACGTCCCTTCGGCGTCGTCGCTCGGTCCTTCACACGCACTGCCAGTACGTGGCTGGACCAGAGCGAAAATCTTAATGTAAAGATTCCCTACATGCAATTCACATCCCAACATGATCATTCCGGAAACTCCCTCTACAAAGTGGCAACCAAGTGCTACCAAGGGATTTCCACTTGGTTGCCACTACAAAGGGAGTGTAGTGGCAACCAAGTGGATTTCCTCCACTCGCCCCACCTTCCAAGGGCTCAGACTGACCATCTCACGGGTACTCTTTCGGATCGAGGGCGCCGGTTCCAGCACCACCTGCGCTTCGACGTCGGTCGCACACGGTCTTTTGCCAGAATTGCTCCCCCTGGAACTGCAGGAATCAATAGGGCCACAGAGTCAAAAAGTGATAAATACATCAGGTCACTTCACTCCAGCTCACTTCTATTGTTTCTAATAGCGAACATTGTTCCGTTCGTAGTACGGCCAGGAGCCCCGTTCGTAGCGTTCGATCGCTCCTAGTAGCGATGCCTTTTGCTACTAGTTGCGTCCTTGCCAATGATACGTTCAGTTTTTCAACATTGCTTTGTGCCCTGGAGTGAAATCACCTTTTCACTTTTCACCGGCCAGGCTCTCCAGTCAAAGAAACAGTTCTCGAGGCGAATCACTCGCGAGTGGATCAACTTGCGATTCTTCATGGAGAAAAACAACATGCTTTTTGACACTGGTGAAATGCTTCCTTGGTCAGAAGCATGCCATTTCATGAGTTGCTTGGAATGGGCTCCCAGCACATCTAAGGCTCTAAGGACTATGTTTGGCAAGTTGTTTGTGTCCGTTGGACCCCGACCAATGCAGATCGGCACAAACATCGCACGCACGGATCTCTGGCGGTGCACTTTGTTTCCTTTGAGAGCGGTTCACCGAGCGGTGAAACGGGTGTGGGTGAAACGAGCAAAACGGATGAAGCGAGAAAGGTCACCTGAGTAGTCACCTGACCATTTCTCCCCTTTCTCCAGGCTTTCTGGTCCTTGGCTTCTGGACAAATCCAGACGAGACGGTGCCTTCCCCTACTGCGAAATCTGCGGTTTATCAAAGTCTCCCTGCTCCGACTGGTCAAGTGATCCCCGGTCAACCGAGAGGAACTCTGCATCTCACGCAGCCGATTCCTCCCGTCCTCGACCTCAGCAACGCGTACCCGCGGTGGGTTTCATCGGGCCAGAAACAGAGGTGGAAAAAGAGGTTTCAAACGCTCCGACCACTTTTGGAATAGTGAATGACCTTTAAGCATCCTTTCCCTCTAATCATTTGGGGGAGACCTTTGCCTGGTCCTGCTGACGGGTTTAAGTTGAGGGCACACATTGCTGGTACTATCGCCCCCATGATTCAGCTGGATAAATCTGACAAATTAAAGTGCTCAATATTCTCCCGAGCTCCAGACACTTATCCTAACAACTTTCTCAACGGCAGTGGAATCGTAGAATAGTAGCTTGTTGCTCCTAGTAGCGATGCCCTTTGTTCCTAGCAGCTATTCTTGTTGAGCAAGCACGGAGGTGGATGGCTGTCTGGGCGTGCTCCTTCCTCGAAACCCTGCACGTCGACCGCTGCGCTTTTGGTCGACAGCTGCGCTTCCTGTACAAAGTCAACAAAGAGATGGGGGGATTCGCCAAACAAGTCGCACGGTTCAATTGCACGTGCGCTCAAATACATCCCCTAATAAGTGAAGGTGCTATGCTGAGGTCTTTGGCACGATGAGCCAAAGAAACCCGAACCACTCTTGAGAAAGATGAAACCACCCTGCAGTTGGTGTAGATGATTTGGCGAACCCCCAACGCTTGGGGCTCAGGACGGTTTACAAAATCCTTCGCGGCGAAAGGAATCCCTTCCCCTTCGCCCGGCAGGGCCGTTCGACGGTGAGGTCGTGGTATTTGTGTACAGGTATAGTTTGTTCCTAGTAGCGTCCTTGTTCCTAGTAAGGCCAGGAGCCCTTTGCTCCTAGTAGCGTCCTCTAGTATAAACCAGTTCATTGTGTATAGTTCCAAAAAAGAAAGATTCTTGGCAGTGCCAGGTTCATAAGTTGTCCAGGATAGGATGCAGAACCCCAAGATCCAGCCACAAGACAAGTTGTTTTCTTTCTACGGGGATCCATGCCTTCCCTCTATCTCGCCCATCAGCTTCAGCTCAGCTGGATCCGCAAAGCAACTCTATGCACTCTCAGACGAGCGCGATCCAAGACGAGCTCTCGTCTTGCAGTTCTATCTTATTGGGAGGGCTCCTGCAACAAGACAAAGCCACAAATATGACATGTCTACAAATTGGTTGGTGAATTTGGGGGGAATTTGGAAGTCCAAGCTGGTTCGTCCCTTTGAACGGAAGGCATCAAAAACAAAACAGAACTCAGCTGTGTGAGTCCCAAAGTCGCCGCACCCCTGTCATTTGCAATCTGTTCCCGTACTGCAAAAATGGCTCTCAAAATACTGCACTAGTGGCCCCATGGCAAATGAATCCTTTGTGGACTACGAAGCGGGGTGAACTATTCTCTCTTTTGGAAGTGCAGGAGTTGATTGGGTAGCATGATCTACTCCCCAAATAACCGTGGGCACTGAGGGGATGGGAAAGCCCCTTAGTTCGCTTGAGTCGAATCCAGTTGGAACAACGTGGACGTCCTTCTCAGAACATGCACTGGCGGCACGAGCCAGAACAAGAAGGCCTCCTCACCAAAGGGAATCTCAAGTCGTTGAAATGGCTAACCTTGCAGACCTTGTTCGCCTAAGTCCTCACACTCTGACCTCACCGGTCAAACAGCCTCCCTGTTTCAAAGGCGAAGCCGCCGAAAATTCACGGCACCAGCCGTTCGCACGAACGGCGGGGCCATTGGTCAGGTAAAGACGCTGTGGGAGGAGTCCAGTTCCTCAGTCTTTTTCTGCTAGTAGTAACAAGGGCATCGCTACTAGGAGCAAGGACGCTACTAGGGGCTCCTGGCCTTACTACTAGGAACAAGGACGCTACTAGGAGCAAAGGGCATCGCTACTAGTAGCAAGAAGCTACTGTCAGTTCCTCAGTCTCTTTCTGCTGCAGGGTCATCCAGCAAGACGGTCAAAGGTCAAACCTTCTCAAATAGAACCCCCCCGGCCTGTCCCCCCCGGTGTTCCCTCCCAAGTACATTGAAAAAATCGTTGTAACTAGTAGTACAGTATGTCAAAGGGTGTTGACGCAATCAGCTTTCGCTCTGAAGGATTTCACTCCCCCTGTCTCCATTGATCCTCTCTGTGGCTTGGAACTTGGCCTTCTGGGGCTTCTCCCAGGTCCTTGACCAAATATGACCAGCAAAACCCAGGTCACCTTGGACTTCTCGGCCTTTTTCATGTCGTTCCTTGTCCAAGACCCTCCGTGGCCAAGGCTCTAGGGCATGCTCCGCCTCCTCAATGATCCTGGGAAGGAAAGGCACTGGGAGGTGATACGAAGCCTTCTTTGCCCCTTGTGGATTTGCCTAGTAGCGTCCTTGTTACTACATGTTACTACTAGTAAGGCACTTGTTACTAGAAGCGATGCACTTGTTCCTAGTAGCTTCTTGTTTTTTTTGTGCATGGCGTTTTGGTGTTCTTTTTGGTGTTTCCTCTTGCGTCTGTCGCTCGTTTCTTGGCCCCTCAAAGAGTCAGCGATGGTGAAGGTGTGTGCATGTATTGCGGAACACAGACCAATACGCAGGCGCAAGTAGGGCTCCGTGCCTATATCCATCGAAAGTTGAAAACCAACACATTGTGCGGTTCTACCAACCTTTGAAGACTGCATGGGTGCTCAGCTTGAAGGCTTGGTGGCGGGTGGGCGCGGGTCTGTGTCAGGATGAATTCATCTTCTCTTCCAAACTTGCCAGGCAGAAGTCACCCCTAAAGCAAGTTGGAGGTTATCGCTTCCAGGGTGGAGGCCATCGCAGAAGTCACCCCTAAAGTTTGCCCCCCTTTGGCTTTCAGAGCTTGAGGGCTGGAGAGAGATCCTAGTCTCCCTGGTCGCCTCCGAATTGAGTGTCCAACACCAAAAGGGACAAAGGGAGAAAACGCAGAAAGGCGTCGAAAGGTCTCGGGACCAAAAACGAATTGATAAACTTGTCACGCGTCTCTGTTGTTCCTTTCTTCCCCAAATAATCAAATATCAATCGCCTCGCATCACAGAACATCGTCTCCACTCCCGTGCCCGTTTCCTGTTTGTTTTTTCAGACTTTCATTGGAAGGGCCTCCGCATCATGGCACAGGTCTGGACGGGGAAGGCCCCATTGGCCACCTCGCCACCTTCGCGAACAATGCACGGGGTGAGTGTGAGTGTTGGGCCAGGGCTCATGTCTGGAGGTACCCGGTCAACTCCAGGGAATCCAAAAATCGAATCGCCGCCTTCGCGTTGTAGCTGACGAACTGTGATGCGACCCTGAAACTGAGTCACGGGAGAAAGAATCGGATGGTCCATTCGGGAATGTTGATATACATTCAAGTGCGGGGCAGCAGTGTTCATTTCTTTACCTTCCACCAAGTAGCGTCCTTGTTCCTAGTAAGGCCAGGTAGCGTCCGATCGCTCCGTTCGTTGCGATGCCCTTTGCTCCGAGTAGCGTCCTTGTTCCTACATCATGTTCTGACCGATCAAGATCTTGCACAGCCCCAGCATCCCGTTCTCCCGTCCGCTTTGGGAGAGTGAAGGGGTGCAACGCCTTGAACCCTTACGGGTGAACCCTCGGTTTTCCTGTTGGTCTCTGCCGCCGAGACACTCAGCATCACCATGTCACTGCCGTCCAACACTGCATTGGCCACGTCACAGGCTTCCGCACGCGTCGGGAAGGGCTTGTCCTGGCGGAGATCCAACGGTCCCACTCCGGTGAGTGTGGAAAGCCTAAACAAAGCCTTTCTTGCACTTGTCTTAAAGTCTTTAAGCTTTTGCTTGCGCATGGCCACAACATAGAGAGAGAAACACATGGAAACACGGAAGCCGACCGAATAAAGATAACATCCGTTCACCGAAACTTGCGGGCAGTCCACCCCACAAAGGAGACTGACGCTGACGCATCAAGATGTAAATCATGGTGAGAGACGAAGAGAAAGGACCAATCCAAGAAAGAGGTGACAATTGTCCACCCAATCCAACAGCACACCAAAGAAGCAGCAACATAGGAGGCAAACGAATACAAAGCATTCCCTTGGTCTTCTTTTCCTTGGAAAAAACGAAAGCATTCTTGGTCTTCCTTGCTCGTTATTCATGAGTCTTGTTGGGTGACCTGACGGCATTCGCATTTCACGGCCTCCATGGAGGCCAACATCTCTGTGGCGGTCACCACCAGCTTCCCTGCCTCCTCGAGAGGAGCTCGCTTCTAATGCCCTTGTTCCTAGTAGCCTTCTTGTTCCTAGTAGTACGGCCAGGAGCCCCTAGCAGCGTCTTTGCTCCTAGTAGCGATGCCAGGAGCCCCTAGTAGCGTCCTTTGGATGGCCTATCCATGTTGGGTGAAAAGGACTTTGTGCTTTCTCTCAGAGCAGCGACGCAAAAGTGCTATGAATACACACGGTATAGGCGTGAACTTCTAGTTACCAATCTGCAAGATAAGTATGATCAGTACCAGTACCAAACATCTTGCAAATGCCTGTTTACTAGTCGGCTTGGTTGGGCCTTCGAAAAGCCTTCGCTGTATTGATGTCACATACTTCCTTGCTTTGTCCAACTGTGTTCCATAAAAGACTTAGTGCTGTTTTTGTACTAAGACTTGAAGCATTCGACAGCGAGGAACAAAACTGGTGGGAAAGACACGGTCTCAAACCGCCGGTTGGAAGCGTCGGGCGTCGGGGTTTGTCGCGTGAAACTCGCCTTGCATCGCTTGATCATCATCTTTTGGGCCATCCAAATCCGCTCGATGGGGATTTCCATGCCCAAGTCACCTCTCCAAATCGATGCATCGGAACCGTAGAATGGAGTTCGTGTTCACAGGTCAGTCGAGTGGAGATTGGAAAGGAGATCGGCTCTTCCAAATCCAAAATACTTGTTCCTAATAGCTTCTTGTTACTACTAGTAAGGCACTTGTTACTACTAGCGTGGCACTTGTTCCTAATCTCGAAAAATGGAGCCTGTTCCACACATCAGGACATAGAGATTGGTGAGTGTCTCCCAGATCAATTTTAACTCGACACGACCAAGTGGAACACCTTCGCCCCGAACTGTCTCAATCAAAGAGAAGCTCCTTGTCCCAATACTGTGGAGTGGTCTTTTCGGGATGATGACACAGACTGGCATGACCTGCCACCCACCTTGTCTGCCTCTTATGGGACTCGGTTGGAGACTCGACCATGGCCATCTCCTCAGAGATTGGAAAATCCCTTTGGCCAACCCCCACGCCTCTGGCCACCATGATTCCATCGGCCTAATGGTCACAGACTGACAAACAAACGAATGGTCCAAGTGTCTTCAATTGAACCAGCCCGTGAACCGAAGGCGGAAGGAACTGAAGATCAAGAAAAATGACCGATATTCTTGCTAGTTCATTCACGTTCATTCCCACTAGACTTGGTAAAGTCTCCCCTCGTGGTGGCTCTGGGCAAAAAAAGTAGGGAGAAGGCTTATAGATTCTAGATCGCGACTACAGAGGCAACACTTGGGATGCCAAAATAACCACATATCTGACTACCTCCCTGTTCCTAATTAAGAATCAAAAATTAAGTTGGCAAGCGTATTGTGGGAAGAGACTCCAATCAATCTTCGCAAGACACGAAAGACACACCCCGTGGGTTGGACTCAGACTAACATGTGCCACAAAAAGGGTGAAGAGGGACCACCTAATGATTCATAAAAGTAAGTTACTTGTGAGGACCTCTCTTGTTTCGACAGTTATTTGTGATCAGTGATCAACTTTATTTTTCTTCAAGCCCATGTCTCTGCCCTTGCCAAAGAGTTCCGCCCAAAAGCCTCCCGCAGGATCTCATCAAAATGCCGCAGGCCCTCCACCTGAGTTGGAAAAGGGCTCTTGCTTCCATTACAGAACAGGTCGGGTACCTTCGAAACCTGGTTCATGGAGGACTGCCAGGAAGGCATGGTTCTGAATCCATGTCACATACATCCAGAAATTGGAGGCCATCGCTACTAGGTTGGAGGCCATTACTACTAGTAACAAGAAGCTACTAGTAACTAGTAGCAAAGGGCATCGCTACGAACGGAGCGATCGGACGCCACGAACGGGGCTCCTGGCCTTACTACGAACGGAACAAGGGCCTTTTCCAGTGCCTTTGCCGTCGCTGCTAGCCGTGCCACGTTCTCGATCTTCGCGATGATCTTCGTGTCGGCCGCGGAGTGCTTCCTCGTGTGGCGTGGGAGGAAAGCCCACGTCCCGGAGCGGCCACGTGGTTTGTGACGGAGTGCGGGCCTACTTGAAGCTGTGAAGCAGAGATGCTTGGTTGCACAGTTGCACACCAAAACCAAAAAAGAGAGGGGAAAAGACAAGGGCATCTCCCTCCAGGTCGTCCAAAAAAGGGATGAAAGGTCAGAAATGGTCCAAAGTTCCGGCAAAGCGCATGTGCACCTGCAATCACGGATATCTTGGGCCGACTGAACGAAGCTCAAGGCAATGTAATGCGCCTGACGACAGGCTCTCCCAAGCCATCGACAGTTGCTTGATCAAGCATTCCGGTCCAAAAGTTACTGTATATTCCAGTCAGTCCAAAACAAATCAATTTCTTTGCCAAAAGTAAGCCGGAATTCCGGCTTCAAACTCATGAACTAGAAGCAATATCTTGCTACGCATGAATCCTTGAATGCAGAGCCTTGCTTAGCATGTGAGACATGTGAAAAAGAAAGAAAGACTCCTTCAGCCCTTTCGCAACTCCCATGTGGTCTAGGTAGAGACTTGCACGTGTGGATCGACTGAGATCGGCTACCAAAACGGCGCGCCGAGCGACTCCCGCACCTTGTGCGGCTTGGCCCAGTTGACCTCCAGAAAACCGGCGGTCGTTGTTTGCCCAGCGGAACACGTCGTTGGAACCCAATTTGTCGTTCGACACTCGATGGGTGGACTCCGAGACGTTCACTATGCCGTTGTTGCCTGCAACTGTTTGCTTTCGAGAACTTTGCCAATTTATTGGGCAAAAAGGCCTGTCGTATTCGTCCCATGTCTCCTCCGGTGGACCTTTGTGTTCGCATCAAGACTTGGAAGCTCATGGCACTCCAAACCTTCCTACCCGTCCGCTTTTCAAGCATCGTGGGCGGCACTCTCGCCGGGCGGCAATGTCATGGATCTCACGCTCATCGACGACGGGAAGATTGATCTTCACCTGAGACAGAGTCCGATCGAACGTGAACGTTGGGAGATGCTTTGCACCAAAAAGGTAGTGGATCGGTCGGTCCGAGTCCGACCACAACATTCCGACTGAACACAATCGAACTGCGCAGTGAGCGCTCAAGCTATCACTCGCCGAAATGATGGTCCGGGTCTGGAGCGACTAAAATCAACTGTGCTGGATGGTGATGAGCGTAAGAATTGCCGGAAAGCCATGGCTTTGCAGGGTTCAAGCGGGAAGAGTTTCCAAGCTGTCAAAAGCGCAAGACGCTGTGGTTGGAGGACATGGCTATTTGGTTGGAGGCCATCGCTATTGGAAGCAAAGAAAAAGAAAGGGAAGAAAGGTCCTCATATAGTTTGCCATTAGGAACAAGGATGCTACTAGGGGCTCCTGGCCTTGCTACTGGGAGCAATGTTCGCTACTAGGGGCTCCTGGCATCGCTACTAGGAGCGATCGGACGCTACTAGTTTGCTATTAGGTTGGAAGACGTTGTGGTTTTCCAGAAATCCGCCACTATCAAGTGTTGCGGAGCGCTGCGGAGTGCCCCCAAGTGCCCCGGCGCCGGGCACATTCACGTTCTTCTTCTCCCCCAGGCGCCCATCGTTCAAGACCTCAAAACAAAACGAAACAAATGGTACACTGGTACACTTGACTTAGCCCCTGGGAATTGAAACCCTAGTTCTGTGAATCACCCGTTCTTCTTGGTTTTCCTGTTTTCCGGAATCATTTCCAATGCAGTGCCAATGGAGGTTCGGACTCCAACCCCAAGTAGCAAGGCCCCAAGGCTCATGGGCAGAATCATGTGCAACTTTTCTGCAGGAGGCACAAACGCAAATACCAATTGCATTGTGTAGGAATCCAAAAGTGATCTTTACAAACAAGGGATTCTGCAGGTTCTCAGGGCATCCTTGGGGTTCAGATTCTTAAGCCTCATTTAGTTCAATGCTCCGCAAACCGAAAGACTCCGACTGCCAGGAGCCTGGTCCGCACCGCTCGACGGCACGCATGTGCGGCCCCCCCACCTTGGTGTCGACGTAGTCAGGCCCGGTGCCGGTGACCTGCCCAAAGTCCAAGCGAAGCGGGTGACCGTGCAGGACACGATAGCATTGCTAGCCATGTCTAAGACAATGAGGATTCGGAATGAGAAAAGATTCACAAACAAGCTCCTTTGCTGGACCATTGGTGTTTGCTCTTCCCATTACCAAGGCTATATAATTGAGGGTCTCCCTCTTTGGCAACAAAATCCGGTGCCACGTTCCCAGCTTTGGCCTTCTAAAAGCAACTGAGGAGAAACGTCGATGCGAGCATCCCATGTCTCAATCACCTCAGATCTCTGTCGGCCAAACCTTTCTGGAGCCATACCTATCTCAATGACCGATTCGCTTTCGATTCGCTTCCGCAAGTCGTCGAGAACGACGTGTTTCTTACGAACGACGTGCGTTCGCTCCGTCGTTCGCTCCACGGGCTCCGGTCCCAGCCTGCCTCCAAGATCACAGTTCCTTGGGCAACCGGATGGACGTAACAAGTGCATCGGTAGATAGAAGCTAGTAACAAAGGCTTCGTGCTCAACCAGGCCACCTACCCGGAACAGTGTAGGCGGCTGTCGGAAGGTTTGCTTCCATCGGCATGGGTGAGCGGCCAGTCTTCGGCCACAGAAAATTGGCAAATTCCTCCAACCGGTTGGTCGGTTTTCATGATTCCCTTCAGCACCAGTCCTTTGAGACAACCCACCTGTCACTAATGTGCCTCATCTTCGGGCATCGCTTAAAGGCTTGGGTCTGTTCAAGGAGGCGTGTGCACTGCGTTCATGATGCACCCCGAGGATTTTACATGCATGAGAATATCGCCGGAGGTGCTGACTGAACGCTGATGCGTGGAAGAAAGATAGGGAACCCTTTAGCAACATTGTTAACATGATGAGTAAGGTTCCCTGAAGTCATAAATCACCAGCTAATCCCAAGCAGCTATCTTCAACGAATCCGGAGAGACAAACCACCCACGGGGCGTTCCAAATTCTATGGTGACAGCAAAGTACACCTCAAAGCAAACCAAGCCCATGCCACCAAGAACAATGACCGCGCCCCCCCTTCATCCAAAGTGCCATCTTGCAGTAAAATATGTTGACCCGGGGCAACATCCTCACGTGGCGCTCGTGTGAAAAGCTACAGGAAGGAGGGATCGACATGGTCTAGACCCAGGAGCTACTAGTAGCGTCCGATCGCTCCTAGTAGCGATGCCCTTTGTTCCTAGTAGCTTCTTGTTCCTAGTAGTAAG